GTAGTAGTAGTAGTAGTAGTAGTAGTAGTAGTAGTTATTGTCACTGTTAACTGAAGGCTGTAAACTTTGAATATCGTCACATATCTGTGAGGTTGATACTACGAGATTATAATGGAATACGAAATCAGGGAAGTTCGTTAGTTTGTTAGTTAGTTGTGTGATGAAAGACGTCTTGGTCTTTATAATTCAGTTCACAGTGAATTTATTTTATCAGTGTTTGAGCTATGTACCTATTGACACCATAAGATCCCTTTATTTTTAACTTTTGTGTAAAGTAAACACACACACACACACACACACACAATGAACAGGCTGATTGTATGATGTGTGAATACAAAATAGTTGAACATGAAGCATGTATCATTCCTTATCATTATTATTCATTGATAAACCCTTGTTGCATCTGAGAGTATGATATTCCACTGAGAGAAACAGAGATAACTTCCCACACCATAACTTCCTACCCAACCCTGATATCAGATTACAAATTCCACGTCATACTACTATTAATCATTGCATCCTCATAAAATGGATGACAGAGAGAGACGGTTGACCTCCTTCAACGTAACAGCGGGTTTGTTTTACATTGAGTGGTGAATGATTGTGTAGGTGTGTCAAAATCACACTACACAGTGTCACTCTCCCCTCCCCTCCCCTCCCCCCGTTTACTGACATTACCGATATGTATGTGTGCTTCAAATTGGCTTGCTATGCACACTTTTACGCACTTGAATGTTTCATTCTCGCACATACCCTTTCCTCTTTCACATTCATAACTTCATACTGGAGTTAGTACTGATGATGATGTCTAGAAAGACGATGAAAGCACGATTAAATAACCCAGCTCACAGAACACAATACAACCAAGACAATCCACCTGAGCTACAAATATTCTCCACTATTTCAAATTCATATTCTTTAATGATTATGTATGATGAAACCACTTATAGACTGAGACAGTATTCTGCATTCATTGTGTACAAAGATAGAAAGAAATGTAGGCATGAAACGTCGTCCAATATTACACTACCTACATGTCTCATTATATTGTCAACTTCGCCAATTTCAGTACAACTAGTTAGTTTACTGATTAGCTAACACCCAATAACCATTGTCATCATGACCATCATTTTCCCTTCCTGCCTTCCTCCCTCTCTCTCTACCTCCTTTCGAAATAACTAACTATGTAGTTAGTTGGTTAGGCGGCCAGCCGAGCATTGTATAATCTGACTTGGTCACCACTACCACTACTACTCACACTACTACTACTACTACTACTACTACTCATACTACTACCACTACTACTGCTACTAGTGAGTGGTTAGATTATAATACTGCGGATATTCACCACCTTGAAATTGGTCATTTTCATAGATACATTAAACAATCTTCATCTGAAAGGCTTGTATATTTCTAAAAGTTTAGCAGATTTCACTGTTATTATCGATAAAGGGATCAAAAACTGACGTGCATATTTCACTGGATGATTGACTCATCAGTGACATATATATTTGGTTGCAGGGAATCAGGGTATGTGAAACCTCGTGAGAATTTATATCTACTCTAAAATTTTAATGCGTTTCCCCTTATATCACAGTCAGCCAATGACATCACCACTGAACCGTTTGGATCATACTTTATCCCCCATCAGAAACGATTAACAGAATTCATTCGACATTATCGATAAGAAAATATGAAATTGAATGCTCTCCGCTTATCATTCAGTGTATAGTTGTAATATGTTGTAGAAATAGAAAAGTAAATTTTGTACACTTTTAAACTTCATGATTGAATTTGCTAGAGAATTCAACACATTTTATTGCCTAAATGAGCATTTGAAACTATAAGTTGAATATTTTCGAAGCATGTTTTCTTCAAAGTTTTGAAGATTACACGCTAAAACTGATAATTGAATTCAAGGCTTTTCTGGAAGATGTATACTCGCTGAATCAGTGTTTCAGAATGGATTAAAATGAAGAACAATGTACATTCAGATAAGGATTGTTGAAGAGGAAGAAATAGTCATTATAAGTTGTACTTCTGGTGCCAAACTTACGCTGTTAGAAATAGTATTTGTCTGATAACTTCAGTTAAACAATTCAGTAGAGATTCATACATGAATAGACCAACAAAGGCCGAATGATTTAACTGCTATCGAATGCTGTTCGATTTCTGGAGATCATGCTTGTGATACAGTCACCCAGAGAAGCAAAACCTCATGACACTCCAGAGCAACACTGTATTCCTCAGGTTGATCTGTCGCTCAGAAACCTTACATTCCTGAGTTTTCCTACATTTCGCCACATCACATATCAGCACATCAATTAGGAAGGAAACAGAATGGAAAGAACGAAAAACTGATCAAAAGTAGAAGCTGAAAATAGTAGACAAGAAGAAGGAGGAATGACAAGATGATGAGGTCAAGTGTAGCAGTTGAGATGAGATGGGATACATCAACGCCACTGACATCAGTTCTCAGACATACCATCTTCTAGGGTCTTCATCCACTACCTTCTCTTGTCCCACAGACTCCAATCACCAAGTCTGTATCACCCACCCTACATGTCACAAACCAACAGTCAAGCATTTCATGAGTGGATGTCATATTTTAGTCTGGTCACCCCTCACCTCTCTCCACTCTGAACATACTTCGACCGACATTGTGTGACAAGGCAGACAGTGGTTAGACATACGAAACACACATATCCCACCCAGCCAGCCATCTCAGTACATGAAGGTTCACAATAACATCAACTGACTTACCTCTCCTCCACAAAACTCTGCACCTCACTTCTGTGTTACTCACGTGGTGACACCACAAAACACGGTCAATAGTAGGAAGGCACCGGTCGGTCGTCAAACACCTGAAGCCTTCTCACGTCTTCTACATTTAATAGCCATGTTTCACGGACACACAGTGGAACAGAGCAGACTGCAGCACAGTAAACTAGATCGTTAATAGATAATCGGATATTGGAATGGTGTCACATATGGTGTCGGCAACTGACCAACCCACCAAGGCTGATCCGACTTCTCAAGTGAGTGAAGTGTTCAACGAACTCAACTACTTTATACTGCCTATTGTTATTCGGGGTGCTGTTGAAGACAAGTGCTTACAGTAACAGTGTGCATTTGGGTGGTGACAAACGTATCCCAATCATTCCTAAAATCATATATGAAATCGTTTCTTTAAGCATAAACGAAGAGTGACTACTTTTGGTGAAATCTGAAATAGTTGATATCACTCATTTATACACCATATCATCGAGTTGACAATCGAAAGTTCTGTCTGTGTGCCTGTCACAAAACGATATTGAGAAGTCTGATGACTAGTGTGGAAATCATGAACTGTCGACAGTACTCGGGTTCTGATGCGTCGTTAGAGAGAAAAATGAATGCATACATTAAATCAGATCAATTGTAGACGATTCATTAGGATTTGTGATTGAAAATATCAAGTAGATTATGAATGTGGAGATAGGAACAGAAGTTACAAGGAGGTCGCATGAACTTCTGAAGAAACGATTGGTTGATATTTCTACTGATAAAGACTTCAGTCAAGTGTATTTCGATGTAGTGTCTCAATGAGATGGAAGTTGTCAACGGTAAACTTATCCTCCCACCAACTCACTCACTGGTTAACTGACTACTTGAGATCAATCTACGAAAAGTTGAGAATGTATAGTTTGGATGATAACTTTAAATTTGTTCGAAAATCTGGTTGAAGGATCTCAGATAATTTTTTTGTCTTTTAGTGCATTCACGTTTCTGTTGTTTTCCTTCATCCATTTCTGCTTTTCGATTATACTACTTACAATTTGTAAGTAGTAAACTGCATGTCTCTTCAATGTTGCTACGTTTTCAACTGTATTCAGTTCTACTGAAGTCGTTTCCAGTTGATCATCTTAATGGTGACGATATTGATACCTCTCCCTCTCACGATTGTGTTGTTGTTCTTTTTCTATTGTTGATTTTTTACTCGATCTTCCTTCCTTTCAACATAATCTCTTTGTTTCACGTTACCAAGTGATTTTTGATGGTTATAAGCTTACAAAATACCTGATGATTCGAGGTTTTTGGCCTATGAGTTATGATTATTATTATTATTATCACTACAAAACCGTATTTTAATCAAATCCTGATTTCTGCATTCTATGCATCACTCGAGTGTCTAGCTGTCTATTTAGGTTTCGGATATGAGAAAGGAATTTCATAAATGTTTGGATTCCTTGGAGGCAGAAGCATTAAGCAGGTAATTGATGGGGCAGTTTACACCATTCGGATTCATCATAGATTGAGCTTCAGAATGCTACCGAGGAAGTCCAGATGGTTCTGTATCTTATCAATGTTTTCACCCAACAAGACTATATCTTCTGCTTATTCCAGGTAGACCACAAATTTTCTAACAGATGCCCTCAGGTTTCTAGTACACAACCTGCGTTGAGGTGGTATGCTTATTTGGTAAATAATCGGCACTTGTGTAAACTGTACAACTTCCATCACGTTCTTGATTCTAGTTGCGGTTAGATTTACTATGACCGATTTCGAGTCACATCACCTACTGCTGATTGTTAACACTTCCCGGACCCCATCAACCAGGTAATCAACACTTCCATACAGATGTTGAAGGAAACAACCAATGACTTGAAGTATTGACGAAATCCTACGGTTAGGTATTATTTAACCTTAAGTCGATTCTTGTGTCAGATAATATATATTACTAACAAGGATAAAAGTAGCTGGACTTGTAACATGAAACAATCATATTTCTTTTAAAAAGGGTAAGAGTTCCAATAGATACATGTTGACGCCTTTTGTATTTACATCGAATAAACAGATTACACGGATAATTCAAGAATGCTTCAGTGATATACATACCATACAAAACTCTAGTGATAATTTACAGCAATATATGATCACATTTTTCTCAAGTTAATATCAATATGCTTTACACATTCAAGTATCATCCATTTCCCGATCACTCTCCAATTGTTCTTCTTTTATCTAGAAACAAGAAGATAAATAAACACTCATCAGATAAAAATATCGGTTAAATGGAAAGGTGCCTTACGTCATTTCTCATCGGTCTACACAACCGCATATATAGAGACAAAGTTATGTAACACAGATATTTGACCGTATTACAATTTATAGAAATCCAATCGGAAGTGAAGGAAATGGTGACATCTGCAGATCTTAGTGGTGGATAGTCACCCTAAATAGTGAATTGACAGAAGTGAGAAACTGCGGACGATCGGACATCAATCTAGTGGCTAGATAGTTAACGCATTCGCTGCAACACCTGAAGGTACCAAGTTCGATCCTCGGCGAGGCGGAGTCATGGATGCATGGTCAGTATTGGTTAAAGTATGTCAAGAAAGGTGTATAAGGTGGACCACTGATGGGACACGAGTCTCCTAATGGTATCTGACATTCTCAAAGCGCCATGCAATGTATCTAGAAGACTCTGCATCCAACAAAACTATGTCGTCTGTGCGTTATAGAGGAATCCAAGAAGATAGACACTTCAGCGATTGATCGAATGGCTGTTAAAGACACTCTCGTTCAATCATATCAGCCAACATCCAAGTTTAGGGTAAAGAGTGAAGTGGTGCAATGCGTCAACCAATTCATTTACTGGTTGCTGAAAAAATTTCATGATGGATACAGAAGTCCCGTTTAGCGTTTCCCAACTTACATCATCTGTGACACTTAATGGCCAGATTTCCAATTATCTATCAATGGACGAGTGTACTGTGCTGCAGTCCGTTTTGTTCTATTGTACAGCTGTGAGATATGATTGTCGAACGAAGAAAATATCAAGCAGTTTCAAGATTTTATTCACAGGTGTCTTCTCAGAATTGTTTGTCTATGGCGGAATCATCATCTAACCAATGTCAAGATTGTACGCAAGGAAGTAGGCAAGGAAGGAGAATTAGTCGATGAAGTTGTTAACTTTTGATCGACTGGAGTAAGTTGGACATTCAATGAACATATGGAGTCATCACCTACCTCAAAGTGCCATGCTAGGAGGAGTAGAATTAGAATGGAAGGGAGTTCAGAGTGGCTAGACTAAACGTGAGACTAGCCCATGAAGCTCCTGACTATTGGTGTGAGTAGTGTTGGAAGATGTAGATTGACTGGCTGGAGTTTAAGATTACTTTTTTTTAGTCTAGTAACCGAAAGGGTGTAAAATCTTGGATAATTGTGGTGGCAAGCTATATTGAATAATCTCCTTTGTTCAAGAGAGTGACAACAGGCTTATCCGATCGTTTTGCCTGCGTAGATACCTCCCTAAGAGAAATGAAACAAGAGTACTCAGACTTGGTAATATCGTTGAGTGTTATTGACAGTGTGTATTCATAGCAAATTTGATACGGTGTCGGGATCACTCACGATTGGTTATTTCGGCAGTCACTACGATGCCCTTCACGATCACTCCGATATTGGCGTAACAGCTTCCTTTCTAGTGGTCCAGATAGCAGTAGAATTCAGGACGCGCGTTTCATTTAAATTTGGCACTAATTAGCTGGATATAACTGCTTCCAATCAACGACATGATAATACAAGCTACAATATAAAGGTTTCAGCTTGGTATTCATCATCATGGATTGACATCAGTTGGAGAACTTTAGAAAAATCGGGAGCACTAAACAGCTGGTCGTTTCGTCCCAGTATGGGACTCCTCAGCAGTGCATACCTAAGACCCGCCCCGACGAGAATCCGACTCAGGACCTTTGCGTTCCGTGGTCAGAATCCATGTGCTCAGCGACGGTTGCACTGTATCATGAACTGATAGAAGTAGGAAATATGGAACATCGGGTGTCGACCCAGTGGCTCAATAGCAACGTGCTAGCTGCGTAATCTGAAGTTCCTGCGTTCGGTCTATGGTGGGGAGGGGTAATGGGTGCGCATTGCTGAAGAGCCTCAAACCACGGCGAAACAGATGTCAAGTGCTACCATGTATCTAATGCTTCTACAACTGATGTCAATCCATGATGATGAATACCAACCTGAAATCAACAAATAAATCCCCATTAAAGAACCTAATCACCAACGATCTTATAATTTGATACCATCTTGATCCTTCCTTGAAAAAGAAACTTCTTGAACTTTAACATCGTCTTGTCCATCATGTGATTCTGCAGTTCACTTGAGCTAAGCACTCTACTTCCAACCAGTGGATCATTCTTGTTAGTGGTGGTGGGACGTAATACATAAATCAATCAGCACATAGGACCGGATAACATGAAATTGGTGTCCATCCAGTGACCAATCAATGTATCTAATCCAGTCCCCCAGGAAGTCAATCGCGACCCAAAAAAGTCAGAGATAACACTATAGACTGTAATGCTGAGTGACGCAAGTTTGTATCTCATAGCGGGACAACAGACTCTTCGGAGTCACAGATACGAGGTTGCTGACGAGTACCAACAAACACGAAATTTAAGTGATACACACGGCTTCCAAATCCACCACAATGATAACTCTTGTATCTTGATGGCTGTATTGAAAAACGATTGTACAGCTCACTGATCCAAATAACGACAATCAACTTCGCTAAAGGTGGAACACAGATACACACCAAAAGGTATGTAAAGATGCAAGTAAACTTACTCACCTTGCCTTTATAGGCCTTTTTAATAGTCTATAATCGTCTAGTAACTCATCAATCGCTTTTGAATTATTCTCTTCTTTGCATACAATAGTTTCATCAATTTTTATAAGTTTATCATTGGTCAGAAGGTTTTGTTTTTTGAGTGATTTAAGTTTACGTGCCTTCTTCTTTTTAGCAATCCATGCCTTGTTTTTATCTTTCTTAATCACCTATAAGAAAAAGTGGAGGAATAAAGTAAGTAATAACAGAAGAAAAAAGGTGAAAAATATGAGAATATCAGCTGATTTAGAGAAATGAAATGATCACCTTTTATTAGTGAAAAGTATTTCAATAATGATTTCCTGTGATCAAATCTTGACTGAGTATTTCATAGTTATGGTTAACAGAAGAATTTAGCGCCATCGTGATATCTGATTTGATATTAGGAGTCGAATGTACTCTGTTGTGTGGTTCATTCTGTTCTACTGTAGAGCTGTGAAACTTGAGTTAGCTAAGATATGTGTTACGCATGACTAACCAATGGCTATTTTGTCGAGTAACTTTTAACTGAAGTAAACTCAGGCTAGGATGACCAGAATAAAACATGCCGTTATCGCACCGCAACCGGCATAAATCAATACATTTATCTTTGCAGAGTCATTAACACACAAATAGACTGTCCAATAGTGATATCGTCATCCTTCCCGTGCATAGTTCGATGGAGGGTTGAATGTCAGTTGATCAGAAAATTGGATAGAAATGTACTCAGCAACCTTGTATACATTCCTTCAATAGGGAATGAGTGGCACTTGTTGTTTGTAAGCATATAATACTACCTGGTAGATGGAGCAAAGCTAGAACCTGTAACTTATTGATTGGAAGTCTATTCATTAAGTCAATGAGCATAATGGATACTAATCCAAAGGTGATACAATAGCAGAGATCCTCGAGAATCGGTTAGCCACATCGTTGAAGAAGACAATCTTCTCTACCAAGCTACAGACCAGCTTTTCTAGTCAGCATCGAGTTCCAGGGTGTGTTAAGGACAAGTTACCGCGTTACACCACTTTTATGTGTGTCAACAAAGTGAACACTTTCTAAATGTATCTTCGAGCACCACTTTGCTTGGTTGTCGGCAAGGGTGACAAGGTAAGTCAATTAACAGTTCAATTCTTGAACACTTGGTCAAATTTGGATATACTAACTCCACTAGAGTCCGTCTTTCATATCATTTAAAGAGTAAAAGGGAATAGTTCAATCTTTGACAAAAATCAACACACACACACACACACACACACACACATACTAACCTACCCATTTAGGTTTACTTTGTTTAGGTGTTTCAGTGGATTGCATTAATTCACGTTGCTTAGCAACACTTTTATCGCTGAAAATTACAAAAAACATATAATGGGAATTAGATGAAGTCAAAAAGTAATTTATGAAAATCAAACTAATTAATACACTGAAAAACAAACGAATCATTTCCACACCTGTATACATTCGTTCAAGGCTCCCTATAATCACCCATGATCTTCCTGATTGTGGTGGACTGGATCATACAGCTAAATATGAGGAGCGAGAAGATGGGCACACACTGTTTGACCAATGAAAAGAACCTAGAAGATTTGGATTTTGCCAACAATGATGATTTGTGTCTAAAAAAGGCACACAAACTCGAAGATCTACAGGCAACAACTAAGAAGTTGATAGAAGAGGCAGCGATGACACGACTTCCTTCGGGTGAACGTAGAGAAGATACAGGTGATGAAGATACCCAAAGAAAAACAGCATCATCAACAAGAGGCACCAATCACCATTAACGGGAGAAACCTAAAAGAAGTAGTCTCTTTCACCTACCTAGCCAGCATCGTTTTAACTGCAGGCGGCACAGGCACAGACAAGGATGTCAAAACCAGGGTCGGAAAGCAAGACAAGTCTTGCTGCATTAATCTCAAATCATTCTGGAGATCTACTGCACTCCACCCAGCACAAAGAACAAGATCCGGACTTTAAACACTAACTAAGTCAAGTCAGTGCTCCTGTATGGTTCAGAAACTTGGCGAGTTACGAAAAGCACTTCCAACAAACTACAGATATTCATCAACAGCTGACGCCTACACTCGCTCAATACTGAAGACCAAGTCACCAGAAAGAATAAGCAACAAAGAACTCTGAGGATGAACCAACCAAGAACTTATCACTCAACGAATTTGCAGAAAGTGAAGATGGATTGGGCATACACTGAGAAGACCGATTGGGGACATCAAGGTGCCAGGCCCTCTAGAGGAACCCAAAGGGGAAAAAAAACAACGAGTTGGGCGTCCGAGGATAACATGAAGGAGATCATTTGAGAAACGAATGAAACCTTGTAGGCAGTCGTGAAGCGAGGTTCAAAAGACCGCAGAGAACAGAGTACAATGGAGGAGTGCTACTGAAGCCTTATGTTCCACTAGGAACCCAAGGAAAAATAATAATAATTATTATTATTATTAGTCCCTTGGGTTCCTAGTGGAACATAGGGCTTCAGTAGCACGCCTCCAGTGACCTCTGTTCTCTGAGATCTTTTGAACCTGGTCCCACGACAGCCCAGAAGCTCTCATTTCCTGCTCGCACGACCTCCTCCATGTCACCCTTGGACGTCCAACTCGTCGCTTCCCATGGGGATTCCACTCGAGGGCCTGACGCGTGATGTCCTCAGTCGGCCTTCTCAGTGCATGGCCAATCCATCTCCACTTCTTCCTGCATATTTGTTGCGTGATAGGTTCTTGGTTGGTTCGTTCCCAGAGTTCCTTGTTGCTTATTTTTTCTGGCCATCTGATCTTCAGCAGCGAGCGTAAGCAGTTGTTGATGAATGTCTGTAGTTTATTGGAAATACCTTTCGTGACGCGCCAAGTCTCTGAGCCATACAAGAGCACTGACTTGACGTTGGTGTTGAAAATCCGTATCTTGTTCCGCATGCTGAGTGCAGAAGATCTCCACACTGGTTTCAGGCTAATGAATGCCTGTCTTGCTTTTCCGATTCTGACTTTGACGTCCTCGTCCGTCCCGCCTGTAGTTGAAACAGTGCTTCCTAGATAAGTGAAGGAGGTTACTTCCTTTAAGTTTCTCCCGTTGACAGTGATTGGAGTTTGTTGTTGTTGATGGTGGTGGTGCGGTATCTTCATCACTTCTGTCTTCTCTATATTCACCTGAAGTCCCGTCTTCGCTGCCTCTTCTATCAACTTGTTAGTTTTTGCCTGCAGATCTTCAAGTTTATGTGACATTAGGCATAAGTCATCGGCGAAATCCAAGTCTTCTAGGTTCTTTTCCGTCGTCCAGTGTATCCCCCTCTTCTCGCTGCCTACTGTTTGCTGCATGATCCAGTCCACCACAATAAGGAATATCATGGGGGATAGTAGGCAACCTTGTTTCACTCCTGTCTTCACTTCAAAGGCATCACTGAGCTTCCCATTGTGGATTACTTGGCATGTGGCATCTTCATATAGTTGTTGAATGAGGCGGATAAAGGTTTGCGGTACTCCGTAGTATTGAAGCAGTTTCCAAATTACCTCTCGGTCGACGCTGTCAAAGGCCTTCTCAAAGTCGATGAAGTTGAGGTGGAGAGGTGATTGCCATTCTATGCTCTGTTCTATGATGATGCGAAGCGTTGCAATTTGGTCTGCACATGATTTGTACTTCCTGAAGCCTGCCTGTTCCGGTCGTAGTTTTGAATCCAGTGCATCCCTTAGCCTCTCCAGGATGATGCGGCTTAATATTTTACTTGGGGTGGACAGGAGAGTGATTCCGCGCCAGTTCTTGCAAGCACTGAGGTCTCCCTTCTTCGGCAGTTTGACAAGGTAACCCTTCTTCCAATCGTCAGGTACCTTCTCTTCCTTCCACACCTTCTGCAATAGTGGTGTGAGCATGGCCGCTGTTGTCTCTGCATCTGTTTTCAGTGCTTCTGGCGGTATTCCATCTGGTCCTGCTGCTTTCCCGCATTTCAGTAGCTTTATGGCGTTCAGGACTTCCATTTTCGTTGGGGGATTAATGTTCACTTGTAGTTCAGCGGCTGCAGGTGGTATTTCTGGACGAAGTGCAGGTGGTGGTCGATTCAAGAGCTTCTTGAAGTGGTCGGCCCATCGTTTCCTCTGTTTCTCTTCTTTTGTAATTAAATTTCCTTCTTCATCTTTTATTGGTTTCATCTGTGTTGGTCTCTTCCCTGATAGCAACCTGGTTATTTGATACAATGTCGTCAGGTCTCTCTTACCTGCAGCCTGTTCTGCTTCACTTGCCAGTGTTTCGTAGAAGTGTCTTTTGTCTTTGCGTGCACTCTTCTTCACTTCTTTGTCCAGTGTTTTATACATTGTGCTCAGTTCCTCTTGTCGTTGAGCATCCTTGCACTGGTTTATCTTCTGCTTCACCATCCTCCTCTCCTCTATCAGCTTCCAGGTATCCGTCGAGATCCATTCCTTGTCTTCTTTCTTCTTCCTTCCTAATACTGTTGTGCAGGTTTCTTTCCACATAGCTTTCAAAGACTTCCAGTGTTCTTCCACACAGGTTTCTTCAGGGATGTTGCTCGATGTCTCCCATTTTGTCTTGATGGCTGCCTTGAAGATCTCCTTTGTAGTTTCATCCTTCAGTTTCCGAGTGTTGTACTTGGTTGAGGTCTATCACCAGCTTCCTTGAAGGCTTTTAACTTGATTTGGAAGGTTCCTTGCACTAGGTAGTGGTCTGAACCTACATCTGCTCCTCTTCTTGACCTTGTGTTAAGTAGACTGCGTCTCCATTTTCTTGAGATTGAGATAAAGTCGATTTGATTTTTAGTGTGTCCATCTGGTGAAATCCATGTCGCTTTGTGGATATCTTTGTGCCTGAACACACTGCCTCCAATCACCAAATCGTTGAATGCGCAGAATTCTGCAAACAATTCTCCATTCTCATTCATTTCACCTAGTGCCTCTCGACCCATGGTTAGTTCTCTTCCCGTGTTGTCCCCTCCCAGTTTGGCATTCATGTCGCCCATCAGAATTTTGATATCGCCAACTGACGTCTTGTCCAGTGTTGATTGAAGTTGTCTGTAGAAATCCTCCTTTTTCTCTTGCTCTGCATTATTTGTAGGTGCATAACATTGTATGATTGTGACCTTTCTTCCTTTTGAGTTGAATCTTGCTGTCATGATCCTGGAGGAGATTGGTTCCCACTGCATGAGAGCCTTCGATGCTCTTGAGGACATCATGATAGCCACTCCCTCAGTGTGCTCGTGGTTGGCGTCTGGGTGACCGGAGTAGATTATTGATTCTCCAGTTGACAGTTTGGAGAGTCCACTCCCATTCCATCTGCTTTCGCAAATCCCAAGCACTTCGATGTTATACCTTCTCATCTCCCTTGCAATCTGGGCTGCCTTACTGGGTTCAAACATCGTGCGGACATTCCATGTCCCCACGTTTACTTTCGCTTTCATCGAGAGAAGACACATCGGCCAATTGGCTTCCCGAAGGCTTTCACCAACTGGCGTCATTTCGCCTCTCCGATTCCAGCGGGGAATAAGTTTGTTTTCATTTTTTATATTTTGTTTGTGCTTTGAAGTTTCTTTAGCGGTTAGATTTGTTTTACGGGGTAGGGTTGCTAGCCCTATGCCCAACCTTCCCTCTTTACCCGGGCTTAGGACCGGCTAGTAACTAGTAAACTAGTTAACCAGGCGAGGTTAAAGGAAACCCGGGAGCACTGTACAGCTGTTTCGTCCTAGTAAGGGACTCCTCAGCAGTGCACACCCACGACCCCACCAGCAGGGATCGAACCCGCGACCTTCAGTTTCCGCGGCCAGCGCGTTACCATTGAGCCACTGGGTCAATACACAATACACATTCGTCAATATACGTGTTGAAAGGATAGAATGTTCTAGATACACTGAACTTCCACCCAGTGGTTGAATAGTGAATCCGTTCACTGCAACACCTAAAAGTCCTGAGTTTAATTTCTCCTGAGGTCAAGCGTGCGTACTGCTAACGACTCTCTTACTAAGACGAAAAAGCTATGCAATGCTCTCACATGCCCAATAATTCTCCACAACTGATGTCAGTCCGCGATGAATACTACCTTATAAATAATAAAAAACCGACATAAAAACTTATCCTACACAAGTAAAGATACAAATATTTGTTATGATACTTGTAACTTCCTGCTGCTAAACAGGGCTGAATTGCTCGACCTTTGCTGTTGTCAGATGGGTTGCTATGCGGACACCTCAATACTGTCAGATACTTATATATCTCGAATTCACATGGTAGTCGTCAGGTAAAACTCTTGGTTAGCCATTGGACCTCGTAGCTTAGTAGGTGTGGAGCATCGAGGCGGAAATTCGGTGGCCGATGGTTTAAATCCCATCGCTGTTCAAATTTTCGTCTTACCTTCAATCATTACTTAGTAGTATCAACATCACAAACCTAGAACGTTCTATCTCATCTATCCTGCTTACTTTGTTGCCAATATTAATATAATATCCTCCATTCCTTCAATATTTGACGCAACATGTGAGTACTAAGGCTGTTTCAGTGTCACATATAGTGTAGCTAATAGATGGACTCGTATATAAACGAATGAAATAATAGTTCAGTGTATAGATTACCTGAATCCGTTGTGTGATATCCGGTTGCTTATTACGAGTCGAGTGTACTTTGCTGAAGTTTGCACTATTCTACTTCATGGCTGTAAAACGTGAACATCAAAGACTTCTAGTGTTTGACACCGTTATCTTTGTAACATAGGTCATGTGTCGTTTTGAGAGAAAACTTAGTCGATAAGTTAGTTAACTTCCCTCAACTGAGATGATTTGAGGATGTATCATATATGGTATCAACTCACGACGTCATTGACTGTTGGTTTTGCGTCCAAATGACAACAGAAACCATTGGTTATTGTAAATTGTAGGTTAAAATGATTTAAAACTACTTGTGAACTATGAGTAGTATACACAGACCGATTATTAAGTTTACTATTCTGATGTCATCCTTGTTATCAATGAGATGACAATCTATGGCCTGGAAATTTAACTTTCTAAACGAAAATCATAGTGTAATCTTACAACTGGGTAACACTAAGTTGTAACCCTCCTACCATAGGCTAAGTAAGAGGCTTGCAGATACTTGCTATGGTGAAAGAAATAAACAATTGGATAGTGAGGAAAAAAACTATACATACCGATATGTTAACTTAGATATGTCAACATTCGAAGGATTGAATCCACTTGTATTACCGGTTCGTAATTCTGGCATAGCTGGAAGTTGTAACAATCCGAAACCATTGGCTAGTCGACCGAAATCCAATTCTGAAAAGGAGAAATTAAGAGTTTGAACGATAGACGGACAAACAGACAAAGTCACCGTGGAACCACCTCGTACATAACTCCAACACCTCGAGTTGCAACACTTCACAGTAGTATACAAAGAACGGGTGGATAGAAAAAGATAAAGGTTAGTGTGAATTTTCAAGCTTTAGATGTCGAGCAGTGAATACATGTCACCAGCAGTCCTCAACCACTGACTTCTTTCGTTTCGAGGACCGCGGTCAGGCAGTCTACATTGTCCCACATAGCTCAGACCAACAGTCTAGGATTGATCTGGCCACCTTGAATCTTCTTCAAACCTAATCCAATTTCCCTGTAGGACGCCACGTCCAAGTAGGCGGTGGCTACGCATGTGGAGACCATAAATAACATATCAGGAGGGAAAAAACAGTAAAATCTTTGAAGAAGTAGACTACCTATCCATAGAGGTTTGGAATATGCAAAACCATAACTGTTTCGCAACAGATCAAATAGGAACTTTCAAAGAAATATCTCTGAATAGACAAAATTCTTTCAGATGTATTCAACACTGACTAAGATAGCCGAGGCATATATCATGCATATCAGACTTACTATCTACCTCAACTTGTGACGTTTTCAGTATGTAAAAGAAACTACTAGTATCCAGAATGATATATGATATTACTTCATGAATCCATCGAATATTGGTCTAACCCATCCAGGTAGACAACCTGACTGAGGTCTTCAAGATGTCAATAATCAGTGGATGAAGAATCGAGGTGACACACGTCAAAATTTCTCACAATGGCATAAATACAATCAATACCTAAAGCGGAAAAAACTGCTTGAATTAAATGTTAATCAGTAGAACAGAGGAGAATGCAATTACCTCAGATCAATAAGTGTCCTACCCTGCTCTACATCAAGGATATATCAGAAACTGTCAATCACGTCCGTTCAGGATTGAATTAGCATACAAACCAACCGAAACACTACAGGGTCCCCAATGTAAACTGAAAGTTCCCTCATTCGATGACTATAACCGACAAAATTAATCACAATACTACACCGGCCAGTCTAGTTACCGGATTCCTCAAAAGAATTCACATACACCAACTGACACAAAAGCAACATGACGCCATCTATCTGGTTTCAATGCATCCAGGCAGTTACGATCACTAATTCGAGTTTAGGAATGTGGAAACCATCCAAAAGGCAAACTTCAAGAGAATTTCTAGAAACATATCATTCCAAATAAAAATCATCGAAAAATACATGGATATAGACCCAATCTTAAATCTAATTAGGCAGAAAAAATCAGTCATTCATCAATTAAGGGGTAAAGTGATCGAACAAATCAATAATGATGCACAATGTGATAGTCTCAAATAACACACACTTTCACAACGATGCCCTAACGGCGTGTTCGAGCAAAATCCAAGGTCACAGAGGTCAAGGTAGGAGAAAAATCTCTTCCCCCAACTTACGATTGGAGAACACTTTCAAGGTCAGTAACAGCATGTAGTTCCATATTAGATTTGTTTATTTGATATAAAGCGCACAGTGATACAGTATTATTTAATTGATTACGTTTCGAGCATAAATTATTGCTCATAATCATATCAATGTAATCACACTTCTTTCGACATCTGATTTTATAGTCCTGTCACCTGATCTCTCTTTGTTTTTTTGTTTTTTGATTGGTAGTAAAGTTTTCCATATCTCTGGTATAGGTGTTGCGTCATTCCTATTACATGTGTTGGGTGTGGATTCGATGAACAAAGATTCAGTAATTAATCTCTCTCTCCACCTAGCTATATTAGACTTAAGTACAGTGGTTTTGTCCCATCCTATTGTGTGGTTGTGTGTTAATGAATGTAATGCAATGGCTGAGTGTTTTTCTAGGTTATTGATCTTATTGGGGTCTGTCGTTCTATGTTTAGCTAAATTCCTATGTTCTGTTAATCTAACTGACCCCGACCGGCTAGTTTGACCTATGTATTTGACTTCACAGTCATTACATGGAATTTGGTAGATTATATTATTTTGCTTAATTGGTTCTATCGGATCTTTTAGCCGACAAAGCTTACCTCTAAGTGAGTTTGTTGGTTTAAATGCCACCCTAATTCCAACCTTGTTGAGAATCCTACGTATGGTTTCTGATGTTCCTTCCTTGTATGGTATCACAATAGAGGTGTTGATTTCCTTTCTACTTATGTTGTCACTATTATTTGTATTTGTATTAGTGTTATTATTTTGCTTCTTATGCGTCCGTGTGAATTTCTTAATAAAATGATGGGGATAATTATTAGTTATTAACGCTTCTTTTATGTGTTTCAATTCCTTATTTAAGTCCTTACAATGACTAGTGAGTTTCTCAGCTCTGTTATTTAGACATTTGACTAAACCCGCTTTAACTGACACTGGATGAGATGACTTGAAGTCTAGATACCTGTTAGAATGTGTTGGTTTTCTGTAGACGGTAGTATCTAAACCACCATCTATCCAATCTATCCAATTAAGCAAAATAATATAATCTACCAAATTCCATGTAATGACTGTGAAGTCAAATACATAGGTCAGTCAAACTAGCCGGTCGGTCGGGGTCAGTTAGATTAACAGAACATAGGAATTTAGTTAAACATAGAACGACAGACCCCAATAAGATCAATAACCTAGAAAACACTCGTCCATTGCATTACATTCATTAACACACAACCACACAATAGGGTGGATGGGACAAAACCACTGTACTTAAGTCTAATATAGCTAGGTGGAGAGAGAGATTAATTACTGAATCTTTGTTCATCGAATCCACACCCAACACATGTAATAGGAATGACGCAACACCTATACCAGAGATATGGAAAACTTTACTACCAATCAAAAAACAAAAAAACAAAGAGAGATCAGGTGACAGGACTATAAAATCAGATGTCGAAAGAAGTGTGATTACATTGATATGATTATGAGCAATAATTTATGCTCGAAACGTAATCAATTAAATAATACTGTATCACTGTGCGCTTTATATCAAATAAACAAATCTAATATGGAACTACATTCTACCACAGTGCCCAAGTTTTTCACTTATATCAGTAACAGCATGACCTAAACATTCGTGTAACATGCCAAAAATGATTCATTTCTTTATGAAGGGTGTCACCAAGCGTGATGATTAAACACAGACGACAAAATACCGAAATTCAGAAAACATGGAACTGCCATAACACAAATAATCACCAGTTATTCTTCTTTAAAAATACAGAACACTAAATTATTATTGCCATTATTTGTTTGTCCCTTGGGTTCCTAGTGGAACATAGGTCTTCAGTAGCACATCGCCATTTCACTCTCTTCTCTGCAGTCTTTTGAACTTAGCTCCACCACTGCCCAGAAGCTTTCATTTCCTTCTCATATTATCTCCTCCATGTCACCCTCGGACGCTCAACTCGTCGTTTCCCCTTTGGGTTCCTCTAGATGGGCTGGCGCGTGATGTCCCCAAACAATGCTACATAGATAGATGAAGAGACTACTTCCTTTAGATTTCTCCCGTTGATGGTGATTCGTGCTTGGTGTTGTTGTTGTTGGTTAGGTATCTTCATCATCTGTGTCTTCTCTGCGTTCACTTGAAGGAAGTCACGTCTTCGCTGCCTCGCCCTATCACTCCTGCCAAACTGGTGGTTTTCACCCATAGATCTTCGAGCTTGTGCGACATAAGACATAAACCATGATCGGCGAAATCCAAATCTTCTAGGGTCTTTTCATCGGTCAAACAGCTTACGCCCCTCTTCTCGCTCCTCACAGTTTGGTGCATGATTCAGTGTAGCCGACCATAATCAGAAAGATAATCGGTCACATTAAAAAATTCCTTCCCCTTATGAAATGTAAAGAATTATGGTGGTTCGGAATACTGCTGTTATTGGCACACGGTTCAGGACAGTAAGCTCCCCATGTTCTCTTAGAGGGAAAAAATTAACGATCCCTAAGCTACTCATATTCACATTATTCAAAATCAAAGCCCCAAACACTACCGCTGAACCTTATTCGAGTGAAAATATTAGAAACATAACTAACTTGATACTGGATAAATATGGAAAGTGGAATGAAAATTTGGACCACGGCAGGTTCAAATTTTGACCAGACTTTCACTTCAATCACCAAGGGTTTTGTCCGATGACTAATCATGTAAATTCGTCACGCGTTACTACTGCTTGATCGTACGTACTCACACTAGCTGCGTATCAAGTCAAGACTTCTCATCTCTATCCAAATCTAGCTGAATTAGAGAGAGAAGAGGGCATTATATTGATTATTTGATATAGCAGTCGTGGTTTAGCAAACTAGTATTGATACTGGGTAATGATGATCGAAAGTGAAATCAAAAATTTGGGCTGCGGCAATACGACTAACTCCAGCCTGAAACAACTTCACCTAATATTGCGCAATGAGGCGGATGGTGACTAGCCATGCGTGACACACTTCTCAACCACTTCAATCAATGAAGATTCAAAACTGGACCAAATGACTCTCTTTAACGCCTTAAAACTCTATCTACACCTGACTTCTGTGCTATTGATGTGATGTATACAGACAGACAGAGGAACGAAATCAACATAGAACTTCCAACACAATTGCATCACCTCGAGTTGCCACACACTTCATAGTAGTCCACAAAGAACAAGTGGATCATTATCATCAACATCAACATAGGACCAGGCATTACTATATAACTGTCCAAGTTGCCACACCTCATATCAGCACATCAAGTAACAAGGTAATAAAGTGGATGAAGAATGAAAGACAAATTGGTCAAAGGGAGTAGAAGTAGAGAGTAGTAAGAGAGAAGAAGGAAGAATAAGAAGATGGTGAGGTTAAGTATAGCGTTAAGATGACGATAATGTGTGTGGGGATTCTCCAGCGCCACTGACGTCGGTTCTGAGCCATATCACCCACAGTCTTCAACCACTGGTTCCTCTTGTCCGGTTGACCCCGACTACCTAGTCTGCATCGCCCTACATGGCTTAAACCAACAGTCAAGCACTTCCTGTTTTAGTCTGGCCACCCCGAGGCCAGCCTCAACTTACTTCAGCCAACATTGTGTGATAAGGCAAACAGTGGTTAGGCATGCGTAACACATGTACCAGCCAACCATCTCAGTCGATCAAGGTTCAAAACCACATGAACTGTCTTACCTCTCCTCCACAAAACTCTACACCTCACTTCTGTGTAATTCATGTGGGGATACCACAAAACATGGCCTATGCTACAAAGGCAATGGTGGTCAAACACCGGAAGCCTCATGTCTTCTACATTTAATGGCCATGTTTCACAGCCATACAGTAGAACAGAGTGAACTGCAGCACAGTACACTCCTCCCTAACAGATAATCGAATATCACGGCAGCGCCACAGATGGCGTAAGTTGACAGAAGTCAACAGAGCCATTTGTATCCATGCAGAGATTTCGTCAGTCACTGACCAACGCACCAGGGCTGATTCGACTTCCCGGGTAAGTGAACTGTTGAACACGCTCAACCACTTCACCATTTAAGACCAGTCCTGGAGCAACAAGGTACACTTAGGTGGTGAGAATCGTATCCTGAAAATCCGCAAATCGGCATTCAAGGTATTCAGAAGACTCTGCATCTTATCTTCACCTAACAGCACTATGTCGTCCTCGTATTCTCCTGCGATTAGGTTAATGCGTGTGTAGTTGGATGTCGAGAAAGAGATCTCCATGAGAACACCCATGATAAAACTGAGTCGGAATGAAGAGAGTGGCGAGAGTGACGAACACTAATCGGAAAGGCAGTTGGAAAAAAACTCATATCAAAGTAGACAAAGTTGTGTAAGACAAAGGTTAGGGTGAATATTCAAACTTTAGGAGATGCCAAGAAGTGAATACACCCACGCCGCTGTGACCGATTTCCAGTTATGTCAACAAGAGACCACAACGACTCATTACCTTTGTCTCGAGGATCCCAAGCAGGTAGTCTACATTGCCCCACATAGCTCAGATGGACAGTTAGAGACTTCATCGACTGGTCCGAGATCTGGAACCCAACAGACGACTTCGAATCATTCTAGAGGATAATGAGCCGTCTATAGTTATAACTCCTGAGATTTAATAACCATTTATGATGTTTCGTATCCCAGTGGCATATTATGTGAAATACATCACTAGTCTAAAAAGATAGACGCTTGGGAATGTGGAAATGGTTTGACTCATATCAACACCTAACAGACAGATCAGGAATAAAGGTCAAAAAAAACATTAACGACAAAAGTGGTCGGTTGTGAACAGAACACCGTATAGCCTGCCACTAAACATGTTGGTAGATCCTGCAAGTCAACCACTAACTTCAAAGTCACCAACATAAAATACAGAAAAGCTACAAACTAGAATAGCACACCTATTTCGGTGTTGCATTGGGGGATCTGTGGAGACTTAGGGGTTTTTTAAGTTTTTATTCATCGTGGACTGATATAAGTTGGAGGAACATTGGAAACCTGGGAGCACTGAACAGCTGTTTCGTCCTACTGCGCCCCATGACCCTGCCACGGGTCGAACCCGCTACCCCCAGGTTCCGTGGTGACACCTTACCATAGAACTAATCGGTCGGAATCCAATGATCCGAATTTCCAACTTCTGTCAGCTAACGACATAGTGCAACCATCACTCAATATCATCGTTTAGCATTTGTCCCCACGGCGACCAAGTTTGCCCCACCTGTCACGACTACTTACAGAAACTTCGAGAATCAACTCTCGAAGCTAGTCACCAATGAGTACTAGTTGAGTCTACGATTAATATCAACTTAAAAAATCTCTAAATCCACGCAAACGCCACAAATTCAATTGAAAGAGTGCTCATTAGTGACTAGCTTCGAGAGGTGATTCACGAAGTTCCAATGAGAAGTTATGACCAGTGGGGGAAAATTGGTAGTCGTGAGGAGAAATACTCAACGATGACATTGAGTAGCGGTCGCAAAATGTCGTGAACTGATAGAAGTTGGAAATATGAACCACTGGATTCTAACCCAGTGGCCCAATGGTAACAAGCTGGCCACGGATCCTCAAGAGCGCAGGTTCCAATGTTCCTCCAACTGATGCCATTCACGATGAATACCAACTTCGAAAATATTTCAGGATTCCCTAATATCCAGAGATTCTTAGAACGATATCAATCTGCCAACAAAATCACTTTTGCAAATATACATTAACAGATATGACTTACTTTTGTAATTAAGTAGTAAATTACACTCATGCTTTCGATAAAACTGGACATACGATACAAATGCGCGTATAGCTTTCTCATGGAGCAACCTAATACACAGAAAGACAATAAATGTTTGTCTACAAAGTCATCTGAAGAAAACATGTGAAAATAAATAACAAAATACAATCTATACTACCTACAAGTAGCAATCCGATAAAGACGAAATATACATGAATAAGCATAAGTTAGTAGTCACTAACAAAAACAAGTTTAGTGAAGAGTTACTGCATTTCACCAGCGATATCATTTCTCAAGCGCTACCATCCAATACACATATAAATATTCTATTCACATGGAGTAACAGAAAAGGGATTCGCTTCATGGAATACTTTGAACGAAATTCACATTTAATTAAAAATCAGGAGGTTGGAAAAAGGAAGAATTACGTATTGTTTGAAATAGTAATGTGGGAGAAGGCTTATCAAGACCGAACTAATATTCAGTTACTCAGTGAAATGATGTAACCCGGCAAATGTAAAGTATGACAAGCAAGATCTGAATGAAAAGATTTTTGAAGGTAAAAATATTCTCACAGATTATGTCGATTGCAACTCAAGTAACAGAACAAATTTTTTTTTGAACGCAGAGTTCAGACTTCAAAATATTATTAATGCCCATGGCTTGCACACTTCGAAGGAGTTCTAGGCGTACATCTTTCACGACATTTGCATGAACTATATAGATGACACCTTAAGCTGTTTTCTGCATTTACTCTGGGACAGTTATAATCAATCAAATGTTCTAAAAGTAGAACTTTGAAGTCTTCTCCTTTCCCCTTTATGGAACCAGGTTGGTATATATGTTCGGGGATGCATCTGGAAAGCGAAGAGTGAGTATGGCCAATATACCTTACTCCACAGGAGTAGGTGAATGAATAGACACGTTGAGGTGATTTAAGAGAGTTAGCTTATCCTTTACTTATAATCGGAGCATTTTGTAAGTGGAGAAAGTTAATCTTTGTTTAGTAGCACAGAAAGTCTTTCTCAGGGAGCTTACCAGACGGTTTCCCGATGTATCTGCTGATGTGTATCATTTGAACTTTAAACACAATAAAAGAGGCTTCCGAGTAGTCGTAGATTATTATTATTATTATTTGTCCCTTGGATTCATAGTAGAACACAGGGCTTCAGTAGCACGTCACCATTTCACTCTCTCCTCTACAGTCTTTTTAACCTGGTCCCACCACTACCTAGGAGCTTTCATTTCTTTCTCACACCATCTCCTCCATGTCACCCTCGGACTCCCAACTTGTTATTTCCCATGCGAGTTCCACTCGACAACCTGACCTAGCACGTGATGTCCTCAAACCGTCTTCTCAGTGTATGTCCAATCCAATCCAATCCATATCCACTCTCTTCTTCTGGATATTTGTTGGGTGATAGGTTCTTGCTTCGTTGGTTCGTTGCCAGGCCAGCCAGAGTTCCTTGTTGCTTATTCTTTCTGGTCTTCTTATCTCATCTTCAGTATCGAGTGAGTGTAGGGCGGTAGCTGTTCATGTGATGTGTATGTCTGTAGTTTGTTGGAAATGCTTTTCGTAATGCGCCAAGTCTCTCAACCATCACATAGAAGCACTGACGACTCACTTGACTGAGTTAGTGTTGAAAATCCGTATCTTTTTTTTATTCTGAGTGCAGAGCATCTCAGTGCAGTAGATCTCCACACTGATTTCAGACTAATGAACGCAGTCGTGTTCTGCTGTTTTTCTGATCCTGGCTTCGACATCGTCGTGTGCGCCTGTACCGCCGCCTCCGGCTCTAGTTGAAACGATGCTGCCTAGGTAGGTGGTTAGGTGTAAGGGTGAACTTGCTTTAGATTTCTCCCGTTGATGGTGATTGGTATTTGATGTTTCAGTTAGGCATCTTCATCACCTGTGTCTTCTCTACGTTCCCTTGAAGGAAGTCACGTCTTCGCTGCCTCACCCTGCCTCTTCTGCCAACTTGTTAGTTTCCGCCTGTACATCTTCGAGTTTGTGCGACGTTAGACATAAATCATGATCGGCGAAATCCAAATCTTCTAGGTTCTTTTCGTCGGTCAAACGGCTTATGCCCATCTTCTCGCCCCTCATAGTTTGTTGCATGATCTAGTCCAATGCATTTGCCCACAATGAGGAAGATCATTGGTGAATGATTGTTTACTTTCAATTTTTTAATCTTATCAATAAAACGGTCAGGATACTGGTTTTCAATCAAAACTTTTATGAAGAAATTAAGCTCATCTTTTAAAGTGTCATGATTGTAGATAGTGTGGATCCTGTGGCACATAACGTGAGTCAGTTTTCGTTTGGTTTATAGAGCACCCAACAATGCAAATTCGTAAGTTGTCCGTTCCATTTGTTTTTTCTATGGATAGACGTTTCAAGTAATTCATTGTTTCGTCTTTTGAGCCGTTTATCTAAAAAGGATATCTTAGAACTAAGTTCTTTCTCTAATTTGAACCTGACTGGAGGGTGGAAGTTATTGATTTGAGACAGGATATCTTCCGGACTATCTGTACTATTGAAGAAGATGAAGGTATCACCTATGTATCGCTTATTAAGTTCGAACCGGTCGATTATACTACTTAAGTGTGTCTTCTGTAACTCCGACCTGGAGAATTATGGATGCCAAACTAAGATTAACTTTCTCCACTTACAAAATGCTCCGATTATAAGTAAAGGATAAGCTAACTCTCTTAAATCACCTCAACGTGTCTATTCATTCACCTACTCCTGTGGAGTAAGGTATATTGGCCATACTCACTCTTCGCTTTCCAGATGCATCCCCGAACATATATACCAACCTGGTTCCATAAAGGGGAAAGGAGAAGACTTCAAAGTTCTACTTTTAGAACATTTGATTGATTATAACTGTCCCAGAGTAAATGCAGAAAACAGCTTAAGGTGTCATCTATATAGTTCATGCAAATGTCGTGAAAGATGTACGCCTAGAACTCCTTCGAAGTGTGCAAGCCATGGGCATTAATAATATTTTGAAGTCTGAACTCTGCGTTCAAAAAAAAATTTGTTCTGTTACTTGAGTTGCAATCGACATAATCTGTGAGAATATTTTTACCTTCAAAAATCTTTTCATTCAGATCTTGCTTGTCATACTTTACATTTGCCGGGTTACATCATTTCACTGAGTAACTGAATATTAGTTCGGTCTTGATAAGCCTTCTCCCACATTACTATTTCAAACAATACGTAATTCTTCCTTTTTCCAACCTCCTGATTTTTAATTAAATGTGAATTTCGTTCAAAGTATTCCATGAAGCGAATCCCTTTTCTGTTACTCCATGTGAATAGAATATTTATATGTGTATTGGATGGTAGCGCTTGAGAAATGATATCGCTGATGAAAGGAGTGACTCTTTCTTGGAAATCTGTTTTTTTAAGAAATACTAATCCGCTAGGTTGATATTATACAAAGCTGATGTTAAGATTATTTCCCACTTAATTTATTACCTGTGAGATGGTCAGATGCAGTTGGTAGGATGCAGTATCATGACTAAGATTCCGTGGTTGGTGACACCTGTTTACTGTAGATGAGAAGCATGTCTCATTTGAAACCCGAATCCGTGTCATCCCGACGTGACCACTTCGTCATTCGGACTGCGGCTGACATCGTGTAGAATCGCCTTCCATACATTGACTCTTCATGGAATAGTAAATAGTTTCATGCCTTCTAAACTAAACGAGTTTATTCCTGAGAGAAACTGATGAGTAGAGCCAAGTTATTGTTGCGAAGACTGTCCTGCGCTACTGTATGTTTATTACACATCACACAGCCGTATATATAATTTTCACGTCAATGATTATATTACTCATGAGTAATTGATAATTATGTGCAGAATTTCTCACTTCCCTCTGATTGCTTGTCTATTGTTGTGTGGTGACATTCGCTGCTTTCTGATTGGTCGAAAAGGCAAGCTGTCCATACGCAATAATCAACTTGTCATTTTCACCGCTTTTTTATTAAATGCAGCTTTCAATTTGTTTGCTAGTAAATCACTTCGACAGCATGTGTAAAAATTTTTTCATCAAGTATTATTAAATATATAAATGCAAAATTTTGTTACAGGAAAACCAGAGAATTTTCTGACTTCAGACGATTCTCAGGTGAGATCTGGTAATGCTGCGCAACTCTCTAAATTTCCACATTTCATGTCATTCCTCTACATGATTAAGATGAAACGCCAAGATTATCATGAAATGATTGGTTTCATAGAAAGCTAAACGTGGTCAAACCATGAAGTCTTTGACTATTCATTTGGAGCGTGTACAGAGATGTCAACTTCTTGGCTGAGATTACAGGCTCGCAACCATGCAGATGTACATACAATTTGTCATCTTCGAAGCCTTGAATGTTTTCATACACCTTCATACGTATATTTTCTCAAATCTTATGCACTCGTATCTAACTTAACATCACTTTTGTTTCCTATTTACTAGTTTAGTGCATGCTGATATTAATCAACTTGAACCGATCGATCCACTTTCTGTGTCAGGTTCTGTCTGCAACGGTCTAGTATGATGCCTAAGCCAGACCATTTTTGAGTCTAAACTTACTTCAGTTGACACTGAAAGATGAGGTAGGCAGTGACTGAATAAGCGTGACATATATGGATGAAAGATTACAATCTCAAAAACTCACTTTCTTTACGCTACCGAGCTTGTCGCACTACGATACATGGTCTAGGCAACGAAGGCAACGGTGTCGAATGCCGGAACGTCTACCTTTAATGGCTACGTTTCAGAACCTCTTTGTAGATTTTTAACAGGCAATCGCATATTACGATAGTGTTGTAAACGGTGGAAGTTAATGAAGGCCAAGTAAGTCTTTTGACCATATGCCGAGTAAATGAAGTTGTCAATGCGCTCACCCACTTTCCTCGTATTGTAAGACAAAGTGCAAAACAGGTAGGTATACTTAGATAGAAGCCCCGTCTAAACCTCTAGGACATTTGTTCAAGAAAGCGCAACGGAGAATGATAGACAGATCGATTGATTGAAAGGGTATTAAAACAAGCTTCTAAGTGTAACATTATTTTTAATAGAGCTTTCACGAAGATGAAAGTCTTTACTTTGATGAAATAGTCACCAGGTAAAATCGTAACTGTTGTAGGATATAGTAGCTTGAAAATTGCAGTTTCTACTAACAATTCTGGCTCTATTAAGGATGGCATTCATCATCTATGACGTTTTTCCGTATCATCAAGAGGGCTTATACACCCCCTCCTCACCTTACTTCTTCTCCTTCTCTAATTATGAACTGAAGCCGTGTTATTTAGTCCTGTAGGCAAAGACATCACCGCTGAGTCATTCAGTTGTCGAAACATCCATAGAACAGATCCTCATATATACAGGGCGGGTAAATATTGCATTAAAAACACATTCATACTATTAGGTCAAATCAATACTTGAGTCTTTCCTAGTTATAAGACCTAGAAATTGTACAAGGAAATAATCAAGATATGATAAACTGGTTTTTAACATAATAATACTAACAATAACTATATAAGTAGTAATCATACTGTTTTCTTACTTGTCATTTTTGCAAAGATTTCGAATCCGTTTAGTGATTGACTCTGGTGTGCTAGATGGAGTTATACCAGTCATATGTGATCAAGTTCTTCACGTTCCATTTGCTTCAAGTTAACCTGATGAGCAAAACAATTAAAATAGGGAGAATAAATGCGACTCGATAACACATTCTTCAGATATCGATCAGTCTCATTTTATATGGGCTTATGCAACAGACCTGACTGTAGTGACTGACTTGGTTTCGAACATTTGATTGGTTCCTGTAAGGTAAGTGCCAGCCTAGTCAATGCACCTTTATAGCCTCATCTTCCATGATTCAGTTCTTTCCAACTTAAATCAACGTTGCTAACTCTCCGGTAACATTAAACATGGGAGATGCTGCTGAGATACTTGATGATATGTTCTGTGACCACTCCATGTAGAAATCGGAATACACTTAGTAACCATGCGCACTAACTGGATGAAAGTTATCTCTCTGACCCACAGTTCTACACCTCTCCGTCTAGTCCATATTCAATGGTGATTGTATAGTAGCTGTTGACAAACGAGCCTCCAATGCGGATGACTCGTTATTATAAACAATAAAAATAAAAATAACTGACAACCGTTTCACGTTTCCCATGTCTCAGTGGGCCAGTGGATAAAGTCTTGACGTCTGAAGCGACAGGCACGAGGTTCGAACTTCGGAGGGAACACTATCACTACTCACTGGGGTGTAGATGCATCTAACTAATGAGTCTCAAGAAGAACAGGACACGCATCCTGGAACCCACTGATAGCCACCGCCAATCAAAGTAAAATCAGTGATCACGTTGTTACAAGTGATTGATCTGCTAGGGTATATAAGTACGGAGCTGTTAGAACAGGTTTGCTTCGATTGCTTAAGATCTATCGGCCGGTTACTAAATCCTCCCCCTCATATCACTATCAACTGACTATTCACCATTTAGAGCTCATTTGATGACTATTTTACCAGCGTAACGTTTTTGTATTTAAGTGACTAGCTTAATTCACGAATTCCGTCCAACCCGTTATTATTGTTTCTGTCTGGTTCTTGAGTCTACATACTCTTGAAAGTATAATCAGCCGATGGGTTGTTAGTCCGATCTCTCGCTGATTTCACTCAATTCGGTGAACCACTAGTCCAGTATACGGTTACTCTAAACATTCTTCCCTGACATGATCCTAATTTCTTTAAATCTCGACTTTACACTTTTCTGCATATAGTTTGCGCTACTTATTGATAATGAGTAGTGTAATTCATTTTCGTTCAAAATGTTAGCTTATCCGCAGTTCCGATCGTTCATTTCGCCTAGACACTGTCATTTAACAACTTAGGATATGCCTAATTTTTGCTTTGGACACAGTTTTGTAGTTGATATTGTTCACGCACTGTCCTGTGATTACCAGTTTAACTATCAGAATATTACAAAACGCTGTACAAAAACTAACTCACTTGCTGATTAATACTCAAGAAATTGATATATGCATCCTCTTGAGAAGTAATGAACAGTAATGCACTGCCTTGAATTCCACATCTGGCAGTTCGACCGCAACGATGCACAAATGCACTGAAATTTGATAAACCCAGGTTAATGTTGCTTAACGAAGGTACTTTCAACAAAAAACAGTGGTTATTGATAACCAGAATTCAACCCCCCCCCTCCCCCCTAGTGCTGACTGATGTTGTTCACTGATCAAGAAAGCCCGACATGATCCAAATAGGCTATATGTAACATCAGCGACTGCAATTATGATTCATTAACTGAGGTGATTAACTTGCTCGAGGCTTATTCCAACTACCCAGTCAAGCAGTAGGATTAGGGAAAGACACTCATCCACCTTGTACACGTCTGTGCACTAGGCAATGAGCCACACCTGTCGTGTGAGAGCTAGTGATCCTACCTGGTTACCAAAACCTTGGTAAGCGGAGTAGGGTTCGAACCCATGAAACATCGGTTGATACTCATCTCTCTTGAGTCATAACGAAATCCACTTTCAGAGCTTCCTAACCACCACTTCACAAAGTCAGCATAGGGTAGCATTCACCACAGATTTACATTATTTGTGTGACCATCGAGGACCTAGAAGCACGGAACAGCTGCTTCGTCCTAGCACGAGACTCTTCAGCAGTGCACACCCATAACTCCCCCAACCAGGGATTGAACCAAGAATCTCCAAGTTTCCTAGAGAGCAAATTACCATCGAGACAGTGGGTCGGGATCTAATGTTCCACAGTTTGCTATTTCTATCAGTTTACGATATAGCAGCACTTTCATCCAGTGCCACTGCTGAGTACCTGTCCTCACGTTCACCTAAGTTCACCCCACCTGTCACGATTTTTTACTAGAGTCTCAGAAAATCTCACTCATTAATTCGATTTGGAGGTTTGTGAAGAATCCTAGACTAAGATGAGACAGTTGTCCAGCGCTCCAAGGCTTTCAATGGTTCATCAACTACTATTTACATAATCCATACACCTTTTCCGGATGGTCGTCAGTTGACTGTTATCAATCAAGAATTCATACATCAAAAGCATCATACGAATACATAAAGTCGATTCTTCATTTCTGCGTGTGTTTCAACAGCTGTGTAAGAGTGAAGAAGTTCTAAAGTATCTACTGCAAAACCATGACGACGGATAGTATCATCAGTCTTCATACAATTGGTATGGTTCAGAGTCCAGTACAACCTCGCATAGTTTACTAGCCGGTCTTAAGCCCGGATAAAGAAGGAAGGTTGGGCATGGGGCTAGCAACCCTATCCCAGAAAAACCAATCCAAAAGCTAAAGAAACTTCAAAGCACAGAGAAAAAACAAAAAACAAACTTATTCTTCGCTGGAATCGGGGAGACGAAATGATGTCGGTTGGTGAAAGCCTTCAGGAAGCCAATTGGTCGGTGTATCTTCTATACTCTCGATGAAAGCAAAAGTAAGCATAGGGACATGGAATATATGCACAATCTGTGAAGCTGACTGCCAAGGCTGCCCAGATTACAAAATAAATAAGAAGATATAGCATAGAAGTGGTAGGAATCTGCGAAAACAGATGGAATGTAAGTAGACTCTCCAAACTGTCAACTGCAGAGTCAACAATCCACTTCGACCACACAGACGACAATCACGAGCACATTGAGGGAGTGGATATCATGATGTCCCCAAGAGCACTGAAAGCTCTCAAGCAGAAGTCCTGAATCCCACGCCATAAAGGTACTAAAAGCCGGGAAAGCAGCAGGACCAGATAAAATTCCGCCAGAACTACTGAAAAAAGACGCAGAGACATCAGCAACGGACATGCCCACATCACTATTGCAAAAGGTTTGGAAAGAAGGAAGGAAGGGTACCTTCGGAAAAAGGGCTACCTTGTCAAACTCCCAAAGAAGGGCAACCCACGTCTTCGCAAGAACTGGCACGGAATCATGATCCACCCCTATCCATCCCAAGCAAAATACTAGGCCGCACCAACCCGAAGAGACCGGAAAATGCTCTGTATTCAAAACTACGATCAGAACTGGCTGGCTTCAGGAAAAACGAATCATGTGCGGATCCAATTGCGGCCCTACACAAGGCATCATCATAGAACAGACCATAGAATAGCAGTCAACTCTCTACCTCAACTTCATCGACTTCGAAAAAGCCTTCGACAGCGTCAACCGAGGAGTAATTTGAGAGCTGCTTCAACACTACGGTTTCAGTGCCACAAACCTTTATCAACCCCATTCAAAAGCTATATGCTATATGATGATGCTACATACCAAGTGATTCATATTGGAAGGCTCAGTGATACCTTTGAAGTGAAGAAAGGAGTAAGACAAGGCTGCCACCTACTATCACCGGTGATCTTTCTGATTGTGGTCAACTGGACTGGACTGGATCATGCAACAAACTGTGAGGAGCAAGAAGATGGGCGTAAGCTGTTTGACGGACGAAAAGAACCTAGAAGATTGGGATTTCGTCGATGCTGATTTATGTCCTATGTCGCACAAACTCGAAGATCTACAGGAGGAAACCAACAAGTTGGCAGAAGAGACAGGGCAGTGAAGACGGGACTTCCTTCGGGTGAACGTAAAGAAGAAACAGGTGATGAAGATACCCAGCTAACAACAACAACAAGTACCAATCACCAACAACGCGAGAAATCTAAAGAAAATTCTCTCTTTCACCTACCTAGGCAGTATCATTTCAACTACAGACGGCAGAGACGAGGATATCAAAACCAGGATCGGAAAATCAAGAAAAAGCAGACCTTCATATTCCGATATCAGGATGGAGATCTACTGCACCCAACTCAGCATAAATAACAAGATCCGGATTTTCACTACTAATGTCAGTTAAGTCAGTCAGTGCTTCTATGTGATGGTTGACAGACTTTTCTCTCCATCGTTGCTCCGGACTATTCTTCAACAGTATGCCAGCTAACAATAGAAGGTGAAGTGGTTGACTGCAATGAACACTTCACTCATCTGGGAATTCAGATCAACTTCGGTGCGTTGGTCAGTGGCCAACGAAATCTCTGCGTGGATACAAAAGGTTCAACTGAATTTTGCCAACTTACGACATCTGTGAAGCTGCTACGATATCTCACTACCGTTTAAGGGTCGACTCTACTGTGCTGCAGTTTGCTGTACGGCAGTGAAACGTAAGTGTCAAAGGTAGAGAACATAAGAAAGCTTCTGCGGTTCGACATCGTTGCCCGTGTAGCATCGACCGTGTATCGTGGTGTCACCGTATGAGTAACGCAGAAGTTGGATGTAGGGTTTTGGGAATGGCAGAAAAGCAGAACACCATAGTTAAATTAAATGCAAACAAGATCGATACGAAGCTCTATACTATCTTATTTAGTCGACACCGGTCACCACTGAGTTAAAACTCACACCACCTTTAAAGTTGTTTATCATATTCCTTCTGATCCCACTAATACGCTCTACCCGTTAGGCCTTTACATACAGCAGAGGGCATTAGAGTCATTCCCCTCGACAAAACAAAACTGTATGCACAGAAGAAATTCATTCATACACCCTTTACTTTGTTTTGGCAATATCTATAGCTCATCTTTAGAACGTCAGCACCCCCCCCCCGCCATAGTTCAACATAAAACGTTTGCAGTTTATTATTATAACAGTCTTAGCAATCTTCATCTACTTCTGAACTCCAATTTTGATGTCAACAACTGACCACTTTGATTTGAGGATTTGGTCGGATTTACTGGTTTCTCAAGTTCGTATTCTTCATGGAATAACTGATATTAGTTGCAGAAACATAGGGAACCTGGGAGCATTGGACAGCTGCAGCGTTTGAGCATGAGACTTCTCATCAGTCTAGTATTTGTTTATCGACAGTAGTACTGTACTTGGTTTTTAGCTGTCTGATTGGCTGACAAAATCAATGTAGAAACGCCTCGCATATAGCTCCATCACAGTAGTATACAAAAAACAAGTGGACAGAAAACGAGTTATATCAAAGTTGTGAGGATATTTAAGCTTTAGAAGATGTCAAGGAGTGAATACATCTGTGCCATTGTCACCAAGACTCCTCAACCACTGATCCCTTTCCTTTCAGGGACCCAACCAGGCAGTATACATCTCCCCATACTGCTCAGGCCAATAGTCAGAAACTTCATTCACTGGTGTCACGTATTATTTTGATCACCCTGAATCCTCTTACGACATAATCCAACACCTCCCAGCATGGTATGTCGATATAAATGGTGACTTGACGTGGGTATTACATGTCCTAGGCATTTCAATCGACTATGTTTCACAACCTCGCCGACCGACTTGCCAGACTGTCTTGTCCATTACCCTTCTCTTGACCTATAACGGCTGTCTCATAGAGGTGCAACAGGACAAGAGTGACTGCAGCACAGTATTCTCGTCCTTAGATAGAAAGTCGGATATGTGGCCAGTCGGTACCTACGGTAACGTAAGTTGGTGAATGCCAGATGGGACTTCTGTATCCAAGTCAAGTGAAGTGGTCGACATATTCCATGACTTCACTTCCTATCATTAAACTTGGAGTACTTGTAGCGGTTCAGTCCTGGAGTATCATCTTATATTTGACAGCTGAAAACAGCATACCAAACACTCGAATTTTGCTCAACGAATCCAGGAGACGCTGCATTTTAATACTGTGAACTAATAACTTTGGAGTATATATCTTTGAAAATCAATACAACAACTGGCTGAAGTATGACTGATGCTGAGTGGTGATTGAAGATGAAATGAAAATCTGGACCACACCCGGGCTCGAACCAGCAACCAGCGGGTTATCGGCCCGATACTTTACACCTACTGAGCTACGAAGTCCGACTGCTGACCAGACTTTCATTTCATTTCAATCACCAAGGGTTTTGCTCGACTACTACAATGTGAATTTCTGACGCGTTACTACCGCTTGATCGTACGTGCTCACACTAGCTGTCCGCAGACAGGATATCTCATCCCAATCCAAACGCAACTGAATTAGAGAAGGCGAGCGTCATATTGATTATCATTTTGATCATTTGAGATAGAAACCATGGCTTGGTAGACTAGTATTGATACTAGGTAAAGATTGAAGATGAAATGAAAATTTGGGCCGCGGCCGGACTCGAACCAGCGACCATTGACTTTCCTGCCCGATGCTCTACACTTACTGAGCTACGAGGTCCGACTGCTACAGTTCAAATCCGGTCGCAGTCTACATTTTCATTTCACCTTCAATTATCATTCAGTATCAATACTAGTCTGTCAAACCACGGTTACTATCTCAGATAGTCAAAATGACAACAAAATATTTGTATGTATATCCTTCTTTACAACATTTAGAATTGTACCATTATAAAAATTTAAGTAGTATGAAGAATGTCAATAACGAAGAGATTTTACATTGTTAATTAAATTATTGGAAAGACTGATTATTTACTGTTATAAAGTTGATAAGTGAGTTTCGTTCTAACACTTTTCTCCGAATATAATATGCGTGCTAGTTGAGATACAGTCGAATTCTTGTACTCAGCTGTACGAGCGTACAGAGTCTTATGTGACTTCTTCTTATCCTCCCTGAAGAGATACAAGGAGAGAGCGCTGTGAATGAGGTGGATCCTTAGCGTCAATTAAAGTGACTGTAGCTAGTTGCTTGCTGGAATTTGAATGTCTATCAACTACAGTTTTAATCAGTTGAGCCAGAGGTACAGCACTAAACCTACTCGCTGACGGTTTTCAAAGCCCTACGTAATACAACACATAGTCCTTCTTAAGTGGACCAGGAACGATCAGCAGAGAACAATAGAGATGAATAGGTAAAATGCAGGAATGAATAAATTGTAAAGGTAGAGACACTCAGTTATACCACAGAGTCTCAGTTTCTTTATGTAATACGTTGAACGAACGATTTCCTTGTAAGTCAACAAGATATGAGACGACCAACAAGGATCAGAAGTAAAACTCAATCCAAGACAGTTAACACTCGATTTACTTTGTGTAAACATACCAACAATATAACGGGCGTCATGAGACTTGAGACTTAGAGAGAGAGAGAGAGAGAGAGAGACCACTGGTCAATTACCGACGAGCATCTATTTAATTCAGAGCAATCTCAGTGATGGTTAAGTGGAACAGAAACCGTCAGGTCATCAGCATATGTACAAAAAGAACAAAAAAGGAGAAAGTACAGCATCTTGAAGCACACCAGCTTCAGTAAGCAATGAAGTCGAGCGCCATCCTTCATAGACAGTACCGTGTTTCCTTTCAGAAAAATAAGAAAATGCCCAGTTTGTGACGCATGCTTCAGTATGAGCCATGGAAAAGAGTGGTCTAAGAACAAAGTCAAACGGTGATGAGCAATCAATACAAGAAGCCAGCCACAACGAACATACTTAACACTTTTGTCTAGACTAGAAACAATATTATGATGATGCAAGACAGTGACAGCATCTAAAGTGCTTCTCCTGTGTTTGTAAGCAGATATTTTTGGATCGCTGAAAGCCTTCAATGATGGCTCAAGCACAAAGCGAAGTAATTTCTCCACTGCCTTCAAAAAAAAGAGTCGAAACTTAACACGTGATTCAGAGGAAGACTTAGGCACAGATACAACTTTGACTATCGTATAAATAATAAATACCAACACACCAGTATTATAACATCATATAACTATGGACCAATTTAACAAGCTTTAAGACTACATAAGACACATCTACTTTCAACTTACTTAGCACTGGTCGGTGGATCACATTGGATAACCCAATCAATATGCGGTACATCTATACCACGTGCCATAACGTCAGTACACAATAAAATTCCACTAAGAAGAACAAAAAAGTTGAAAAAAAAAGGTTGAAAGTATCCACTGTGAACTGGATGATAAGCAATAGAAAACATGATCCACAAGAAGACGAAATATTATTTGATCAGATGAAAAATCTTATTAAAATGTTCAATCGAAATGGTTTCGACAACTTTGGGCACATTCTCGTCCAACAAGCGATAAAACGCACCTATTAAATAACGATGAATGAGACTAACTTTATTACGCGAAATAAGTGTTCGAACCCAAAGCCAATTAGTTGAAGGTTAACTATCTAAAATGATATGTATGCACTACAGTGAAGATTTTCACTCTTTAAGTCCAACATTGTATTCATTAGTACACTTTTATACATTAGTAGATCTCGCTGACCAGAAGAGATTCGGTTGGATGATTTTCTGATAGAAATCCTGTTAACTGGCACTGCAGTTGGATGGCAGTTGTCAGAAATGTCAACGTGGACAGTGCGAAACTCAGGTGATCTGAAAGACTAAATTTCTCCGGGTACACTGCTGCAGAAAGCTACAGATTAAATTTAGCGGATTTTAACTACTCAAATTGTTTAGTCGTATATTTCGTTCTTTACATTTATCTTTGTTTAGTGATACAGTCATTCAAAGTAGTGCACCAATAAAGTGAAGGGAACAGATTATTTTGTACTGGATGTGCGTTTCGTCTGAACTGAGACTCACCACTAAGGCTCAAACCCAGTGCCGATCGCTTTAAATGCCAAAGTGCCAACCCCACCGGGCCATTAGGGCACAAGAACCAACGCTCTTGTTAAACGGGTATCAATTATTACCATTACTGACTGCCGCTTCTCATTTCCCATTGCTATAAGAAGCTGAAATGCTCGACATCTGTTGGCAGGTGGTCTCCAGTAAGTGGATGCCTCCATACTGGTTGGATATTCACTATATTCCAGAATATTTGGCGACTAGCTGCACCTATTCACTAGGACTAGAGCAACATTACTCAATGGGATGCAGGTACATGCAGCTGACGAGCCATGAAATAGGACGAAACACCCGTCCTGGATTCCACTGCCAGTCAACAAGTAGACTACAATATACTGAAAAGTCAAAACTTAACTATCTTGGCCAATAACTCCCAACTTCACTACTATTTAGGAACTTTTCACAAATTTCTGGTAGATTTGTGCACCAAAAGTAGGTCAGTTAATTGAATGCCTTCAATATTCAATGGTTATACTTGAATCTTGGTAACGTGTTAGGCTCCATGACTAGTTTGCTGCAAGTACTTCCAGTTTAAGGATAGGGAGTGAAAGGGTAGAATGTGTCAACCACTTCATTCACCTGGAGAGTTGTATCAGGCCGAATGCACTGGTTGCTGTCGAAATTTAGCATTTGCCAATTTATACCATCTCTAGCACCAACTGGCGAGATATCCGGATATCTCTCCAAGGGCGAGAACAGTGTGCTGCAGTCACTCTTGTCCTGTTGCACCTCTATGAGACAGCCGTTATAGGTCAAGAGAAGGGTAATGGACAAGACAGTCTGGCAAGTCGGTCGGCGAGGTTGTGAAACATAGTCGATTGAAATGCCTAGGACATGTAATACCCACGTCAAGTCACCATTTATATCGACATATCATGCTGGGAGGTGTTGGATTATGCCGTAAGAGGATTCAGGGTGATCAAAATAATACGTGACACCAGTGAATGAAGTTTCTGACTATTGGCCTGAGCAGTATGGGGAGTGTATACTGCCTGGTTGGGTCCCTGAAAGGAAAGGGATCAGTGGTTGAGGAGTCTTGGTGACAATGGCACAGATGTATTCACTCCTTGACATCTTCTAAAGCTTAAATATCCTCACAACTTTGATATAACTCGTTTTCTGTCCACTTGTTTTTTGTATACTACTGTGATGGAGCTATATGCGAGGCGTTTCTACATTGATTTTGTCAGCCAATCAGACAGCTAAAAACCAAGTACAGTACTACTGTCGATAAACAAAGACTAGACTGATGTTTAATATACACAAGATAAGCCATGAATTAAGCATAGTCAACACTATTTGTCAAACTCACGTTGATGTCTCCTTAAATTTTGTAAAGACATTAAAACGCTTTTTATTCAATTTTCCGTGTAATTTTTCAATACGCTTTGATTGTTTCAATGGTAATAAACCTTTGAGTAGGCAATAGAAATAGTCAACGCAAGCACAGGTAGCGACAAATATTAAAATTTTCGCTTTTCTATGCGCTAATATAAATCGTACAATCAATGATATCTTCTCATCCGGTTCAACAATCTATTACAGGAATAGAGTAAAAAGCAGCGTAAAAGAGATAAGGAAATGCAAGAGATTATGTAATCAATAGTTAAATGATAAGAATATTTGAAACAAATCAGTCCCTTTGATTGATTTGCGTAATTGGAATAAGAAGATTGAGGGCAATCTGAGAAATGTGTGATGTGTGTGAAATATACCCATCAAGAGATGAAAGAAGGAACAAGTATGTCAACGAAGACCCCCACCCCTTCGGCCATTTTCATTTACAAAGCTGTACAAACAATCGCAAAAGTTATACATTTTTCTAATGTAAGGGATTTGATAGTTAAAAACTGGTTTGTCAAGCATGGCAGGCAACATAAATGGTGTCAATTATGTCAGCTATCATAAAATCATCAAACTGTGATGACTAGTGAACAGTGATTAAAATAAATTTCGACAAGAAGGTATTTCGTGACATGGCGACATAACTAGAAACTGAATTATGGCCATTTTTGAGAATGGATAATTGAAATCAACAATTAGATTCGATCGAAAATTCACCTTCTTGATTTACAGCCAACAAGAACAGCTGATAGAACGTTAAGTGGATAAATCCACAAAAAACCAATATGAAATGGTCAACTGTAGAACATTAATAGCTGGGTACCTATGAGTCGTAAGCGAAACTTGATCATATCTCTTGTCACTCGCATCAAACGAATCTGCAGTCCCGGTGTGTTAGAAGAGGAAATTTCTGTTCTAAAAAATATTCTGATTGAAAAGACGGATTCCCACCACGCTTCATAGACAAACACATCAAGTCTAAACCTTGCAAACAGGATATCAAACGGTCTAAGGAGAACATTCTTTACATCAACGCTGAGACTAGTATTCTCTTTTCGCCCAACGATTTCTAACAACTCGAGGGAGAAACTTTCACATCTGACCACTTCTATGTGCATATATCAATTCACCTGCTCTTGTGGAGTCAGATATATTGGTCATTCAATGAGACAGTAATCCAAAAGGGTTCAAGAACACTCTCCCGCATAGTTACAAAGTGGTAACAATGGAGCGATAAGGAGTACTACAATTGAACACATCATAAACACGAATTACGCTATCTCAAGAACTTTCTTGTTTAAAGTCATCTATAAAGTAGAAAAAACCTTCCAAAGGCTATGTCTTCGTATTCTCTGCATCACCGAAACTCTTGTCATCCGAAAAGAGAAGCCTGAACTGTGTACACAAAAGAAGAATGTTCAACCTCTTGTCCTTTCATGGTCTTAGTTTTCAGTCTCCTCTACTCCCTCCTTTTTTCTCTTCACCCTTCTATTTTGACATTATTCACTTCCTAAGTAATTTACTACCCATTCTTGTTGTTTTGCTCTGCTTGATCACAATTGGCTTTTCAATTATGTTGTCAGTGTTACAAAATGTCTTCTTGTCCAAACTTATTTTGATTCATATTCACTACTCATCACAGTTTGGTGATTTTAATGACACCTCACATGATTGACATGCTTGACAGACCAGTTTTTAACTATCGAATCCCTTACCCTAGAAGAAAATGTATAAATTTGTGACTGCATAGATTTGAAAATGAAATCGCCGAAAAGAGACTACGCTAAAATATTTACTCGTTCTTCCTTCAATACATTTCGAATAGTTTGACTTGCCACACATTTACTTGTCAAGGCATTTTAGTGTATAAAGGATGAAAACAGAGTGGAGTAAGGCAAATAAATTAAGATAATACAAGACTTGGAAAATATGGGGGGATAATAAGGAGGAATAATACATTTTCATACCTCCTCCCTTGGCATTAAAATGAGAGGTAAAGTTTCCTCCCGTTAGGTTTGAGGTAAGAATAAACTGTTTTTTAATACACAAAAGGGATTTGAATTTTCGTATAGCTAAGGCTTCAATGAACTTAAGTATACAACTCCTGTACCACGATCTAAAGGCTGTTTTTGGGGTCAATCCTGTGACCTGTTCCTACACTGTGTTTACCTATCGATGATGACGTCTGTCTGCCTTCTGTATTTATCAGATTATTGGGATGTAATTGTATTTACAGTCATTTAGGGATATCTACACCACCCTCAACTTTGTAGTTCGATTACTCCTCCCAATGTACATGTCACCGCACACATCCCACTGTGTATACCAGTATACGTTGGAAGGAGTAATCGAACTACAAAGTTGAGGGTGGTGTAAGATACCCCTAAATGACTGTAAATACAATTACATCCCAATAATCTGATAAATACAGAAGGCAGACAGACGTCATCATCGATAGGTAAACACAGTGTAGGAACAGGTCACAGGATTGACCCCAAAAACAACCTTTAGATCGTGGTACAGGAGTTGTATACTTAAGTTCATTGAAGCCTTAGCTATACGAAAGTTCAAATCCCTTTTGTGTATTAAAAAATAGTTTATTCTTACCTCAAACCTAACGGGGGGAAACTTTGTCTCATTTCTCAGATAGCCCTCCATCGTCTTATTACACTGAGCAAAAATAAGGATATTGTTATATCACCTAGATTCCTTCTCAAAGAAGCTTGAAATTCACTGAAAAGCCTCCACAACCAACCATAGCATGCCAAACATTTGCGAAAAAGCACGCGATCATGTGTGTCTCGCGTATATATATATATATATATATATATATATATATACGTAAAACACACCAAAGGCTATCGGAAACATTTATTCCTAGTTCGACTCGACAGTAAAACCGTTCGTCCTTCTGCCGGTTCTTTTCTATTTTCGAGGAATCGATCGACTCTCAAAAGTGAAGTATAAGGTTATGTTTCAAAAGTCCACCTAAATATATATCATAGACTAAATGAAAAAATTTCCATGGAAACAGCAGAAGATTATTGAAAAAAATAGAGGGGAAAAAATGCAATCACTTAACTTGGAAGTAGGATCAGCCCTGCCTCGTGGCTCAGTGGCCGATGACATTTCTGCACGAATACAAAAGACTCGGCTGGCTTTTTTGCCAACTTACGACTATCTGTGGCACCCATTTGATATCTAACTGTCTATTAAGGGTCGCGTTGTACTGCATAGCAGTCTGCTCTGTTCAACCCTATAACTGTAAAACATGGCCGTTGAAAGTGGAAGACATGAAAAGGCTTCAGGGGTTTGACCAGCGTTGCCTTCGTAGGATAGGCCGTATTCCGTGTCACCATGTAAGTAACGAAGATGTAAGGTGTAGAGTTTTAGAAAGAGGTAAGCCAGTTGGTCTGATTTTGAACCTTCATAGACTGAAACGATTGGGACACGTGGCGCATATGCTTAGTCGCCGGTGGCCTCGTCACACAATATTGGCTGAAGTAGGTTCAGGATGGAAAAAGGCTCGAAGCGGCCAGCCATGTATGGGGATGCAGACTAGCTATACCGAATCTCACCATTTTCTCATCCTCCCTTTCTCTCTTTTAGTACTTTATATTTCTTTTGACTGAATTTTCTCTTCTTCATCTTCCACTCCACTGCCTTTTTAATTGATGTACTGATATGCGGTGTGACAACTCAGACCGTTACACGATAATGTCTGGTCCTATGTTGATATATGATGATGATGATGATGATGATGATGATGATGATGATGATGATGATGATGATGATGATGATGATGATGATGATGATGATGATGATGATGATGATGATGATGATGATGATGATGATGATGATGATGATGATGATGATGATGATGATGATGATGATGATGATGATGATGATGATGATGATGATGATGATGATGATGATGATGATGATGATGATGATGATGATGATGATGATGATGATGATGATGATGATGATGATGATGATGATGATGATGATGATGATGATGATGATGATGATGATGATGATGATGATGATGATGATGATGATGATGATGATGATGATGATGATGATGATGATGATGATGATGATGATGATGATGATGATGATGATGATGATGATGATGATGATGATGATGATGATGATGATGATGATGATGATGATGATGATGATGATGATGATGATGATGATGATGATGATGATGATGATGATGATGATGATGATGATGATGATGATGATGATGATGATGATGATGATGATGATGATGATGATGATGATGATGATGATGATGATGATGATGATGATGATGATGATGATGATGATGATGATGATGATGATGATGATGATGATGATGATGATGATGATGATGATGATGATGATGATGATGATGATGATGATGATGATGATGATGATGATGATGATGATGATGATGATGATGATGATGATGATGATGATGATGATGATGATGATGATGATGATGATGATGATGATGATGATGATGATGATGATGATGATGATGATGATGATGATGATGATGATGATGATGATGATGATGATGATGATGATGATGATGATGATGATGATGATGATGATGATGATGATGATGATGATGATGATGATGATGATGATGATGATGATGATGATGATGATGATGATGATGATGATGATGATGATGATGATGATGATGATGATGATGATGATGATGATGATGATGATGATGATGATGATGATGATGATGATGATGATGATGATGATGATGATGATGATGATGATGATGATGATGATGATGATGATGATGATGATGATGATGATGATGATGATGATGATGATGATGATGATGATGATGATGATGATGATGATGATGATGATGATGATGATGATGATGATGATGATGATGATGATGATGATGATGATGATGATGATGATGATGATGATGATGATGATGATGATGATGATGATGATGATGATGATGATGATGATGATGATGATGATGATGATGATGATGATGATGATGATGATGATGATGATGATGATGATGATGATGATGATGATGATGATGATGATGATGATGATGATGATGATGATGATGATGATGATGATGATGATGATGATGATGATGATGATGATGATGATGATGATGATGATGATGATGATGATGATGATGATGATGATGATGATGA